GAAAAATACTACTGGCCATACTCAAGTACTTGAGTTAGCCTAAAGTGGCTTTCTGGATCCCTGCCTGTATTTTGCTTTTGATTTAGACCAAATGACAATGTGTAAAGTTAGAAACATTTTGTAAGAATCAAAGGCAAACAAGAAAACAGAGAAACAATTCCAGTTCTCTGGAATAATCACAACAAAACTCCTTGGCTGGAAGAATAATGTAGTCTAGCATAATGAAACAAAACAAAAATCCATTTTAAAATGGAAAAAAAGAGGATTATGTTGCCACATGTTCAAGGCAAAGCCATTAAGCTGCCCTTTCTCTTCTTTTCTGCCTCAGAATACTGATATTTTCACTTGGGAGACATCATAAATCTGTCAGAATTCTAGGGCCAACTTTTTGTTTTGACCTTGGACTTCTGGCAGCTGAAAGAGAAAATTAAATTGCTGTTGATTTTTTAAAATGGGTTGTTTGTTGTGGTGTGCTTAGTGCCAGCAATATCCATTCATTAATATTCCATAGCACTGAAGTAATTTTCTTCTGAGAAATTTATCACTCTTTTGGAAAAAAATGGATAAGATAATAAACTATTAAAGAAGAGAAATATGCTTTTTAAAAATCAAATTGTGGCATTTTCCTAGGTTTAGAGTATTTCAAAGACGTGTTTTGAGCATGGCTTAGAAATAGAATACCCATTGTTATTTGAATGCATTGGCCAAGTAAGTAAGAGAACAAATTCCATTTCTCAGGGTGTCCTTTAATATTATCAGGGTGATGGAATCTTGGAAAGAATAAATGGAAATAAAAATTCCATCATTTCCATGTGTTGCTGTGCACTTACTCTGCTTATGGTAACCCTGCGTTGAGCAGTCAAACAGGAACCATTACTTAAAATAGAGGTTCTCAGTGTGGGCCATATGGCTCCCCATGGAGCCATGGCATATTTTTATGGTGTCACACTAAGTGCCACATTTTTAGGGGGGCTACAAATACGTTTCTGAGGGGGCCACCAAACATAACTACTAGGCTGTCATGATCCTGGGCTAGAGTTGCCAGCCCCTAGGTCCCGGTTGGGTTTTCCCCACTTTGCGGGACTTCAATGGCACTTCCAGGTGATGTCAGCACATCAGAGATGTCGCACATGATGTCCTGCCCACACCTGGAATGTCCCCCAAATCCCCCTGCCATGATGGCGAAGGGACCTGCCAAACCTATACTAGGTTTAGGCTGAGGCAGATTGAGGCCTGCAGGCCCCAGAAAGCCTCAGCTAGATTAGGCTGAGGGCCTTCAGTTCCCAGGAACCCTCTGTGTCTTGTGATGGGGAAGGGAGAAATAAAGGGAAAAATGAAGCCAACCATGGGTGGAGAGGTGGTACCTGGGCAAAAAGCATAAAAGGCCTTGCGGCCAGAGGGAGGATATTCACTATCGGAGGCAGAGCTGGAGAGAAGATGCTGCAGACAGAGTGATCCCTCACCCATTGTGGCCTTGAGCCTAGTCTAACGGGAAGTAAAAAGTTAGACACATTAAGGATTTTTGTTGTTTTGTTACCAGTTCCTGTTCATTGCCTTGTATTTTACCTAATCTAATTTAATCCATCCTGTTATCACCAAATCTGTTTAATAAAAAGGCTTGCGAGCCCCCAGGTCCAGGCAGGGGATTCCCCAATTTTGCAGGCCAGTTGGCCGGCTGGGGGAAGCCCCACCCCAACAGCCATGATTTGCCTCTAAATCTTGGCAGGATACTTTAGAAGAAGCTTGCAAATTGTTTGTGTTTGGGAATGTGTGTGTGCCTACTCATAGGGCCCCCGACCCGCCGGCCTGGATCCAGCTGGCAGGGGAAGCCCCACACCCGAACTGCCTGGATCAGGCTGACATGCCTGGTGTGATGACATCACCCAGAGGTGATGTTATCACACTGGGCACATCACTGGGGGGACGCTCTAGCATTCGGCCTGAAAACTCTATGGTATCATAGAGTTTTCAGGCCGAATGCTAGAGCATCCCCGGCGACGTGCCTAGCATGATGACGTCACTTCCAGGTGATGTCATTGCAGCATGCGCATGCTATATGTGTGTGTTGAAAAGTCCTGGAATGAGAGCTTCTCCCCTAGCTGCAAACAGGTAACGGAACTGGCAACCCTAGCATGAGGTGTATGAGAGAAGACAGCACAGTCCCTCTGTTTGTTTTGCATTTGTTTCAGAAGTCATGTGTATAGTAAAATGTATAGTAAAGCGTCTAGTAAAATGTAAAGTGCATAGTAAAGTGTTAACTGGAACCTGATTATGGGATGGAGGAAAGCTCCACCCCCTAGATGGCTCTCTTACTTACTTTCATTTGTCTGTGTTAGTCTGAAGAAATTGGTTGAAATAAAGCAAACTGTTACATTCAGCAACTCCTGTGAGTAAAGTGATTTATACCATTGCCCCAGTGAGATTACAAAAAACTGCACTGCTGTATTTTTATTTATTTATTTTTAGGGAATAGGAAAGTCTCCAGGCGCCACCCCCAAAGTCCCCAGGTATTTGCTGAGTTGGACCTGGCAAACCTATTAATAAATTATATTTTTGTAACTCTGCTGGGTCCTCATGCCTCACTGGGCCATTCGGAAGGCCAACTTAGCCTGAAGAGGAAGTAGGGAGGCTGTTCGGAGCCCTCCTTGGTTAGATGAATAAACAGTGCAGATGGTAAAGTACCTTTTTTCCAGCTAATAGCAACTATGAGGGGAGCCACAGAAGTAAATGAGGCTCAGAAGGGAGCCATGAGCAAAAAAAGGTTGAGAACCCCTGACTTAAAACACAATATAAAGTCAATAAACTCCCTCAGAAAATTGTATGTAAAAATAAAATGAAATGAAGCTGTCATACCCCTCAGTACTGTGGGCCACGCAGGTCCACTCAGTACTGTGGACCATGCATATCTTAATAAAGGAATTTTGCCTCTTCACTGTGGTTTTACACCTAACTATGGTTGAAGAAGCTGTGTGAAGGCAAACGAATGGTAGATGTCACACAGGAAACAACTGATTCGGATGCTATGATTGAAATCCACTGAAAGCGTCACACTCTAAACCAGAGTGAGAGCAAAAACACATTTTTATATATCACTGTGCCTAAATCACATGGGATCACAATAGCCCACTACCTGTCTTTATCTGACGTATGACCCCCATCTGCCCCCATTTCACTTTCTTCAGTTTCTACCCTGTTGACCAGCTTTTAAAGAGCAAATGTTTGATGTATCCCTAGAAACGCTGTACTTTGTTACTTCACTTTATTGCCCAGTTCCACATATGACGCAAAGCACTTTACTATGTATACGTGCCACACATGCATGTAGGGTTGCCAGGTCCCCTGCGGCCACCAGCGGGGAATGGGGGGTGGGTAGGGTTTCAGATCCAGGTTGGGAAACTTCTGGGGATTTGAGAAAGGAGTCTGGGGAGGACAGGAACCTCAGTGGGGTACAATGCCCGCCTAGAGTCCACCCTCCAAAGCATCTGTTTTCTCCATGGAAACTGATCCCTAAAGTTTGGAAATAAACTGTAATTCTGGGGGATCTCCAGGTACACCTGGGGACTGACCATCCCTAGATGCATGCCATATTAAAATGCATTTAACATGTATTTAAATACCAAAATCTAGACCTCGATGGCATCCAATGACAGTAGATTCAGGATGGATAAAAGGAAATACTTCTTTACACAGAGAGTAAAATGTGGAAGTCACTGCCAGAGGATTAAGTGATGGCCACAGGCATAGGAAGCTTTAAAGGGAGATTATATAGATTCAAGAGGATAGGTCCATGAGTGGCTACTAGCCATGGTAACATTTAGAGGCTGTCAGCTTCTAAATTCCAGTGCCAGGAGGCAACACCAGGGGAAGACCTTGGCCTCTATGCCCTGTTGTTGGCTGTCCAGAGGAACTGGTTGGCAATTCTGTAAGACAGGATGCTGGCTTAGATGGACCACTGGTCTGATGCAGCAGGGTTGTTCTTATGTTCTTATGGACATTTGGCTCATTTGAAGTGTTACTAGACCAGTGACTGGTGTCCTAGATGATGTGCTAATGCTATAGGCAGATGAGCGCATGCATGTGGCAAATGCATTTTAATATGATTGGGTGCAGCTCATTGTTTACACATGGCCCATGAAATGTACATAGACATTCACTTTCTTTGCCAGATACAGCTGTGGTTGCCTTTTCCAAGAGAGAGGGTTTTAAAAAAATCATTTCCTTCCCTGCCATTTTTCCCCAATCAAAAAGTCACCCTGACCTGCCTCTCCTCCCAGCTGGGAACAATTTTCAGATATTTTAATATTTCCCAGCAAGAGGACAAGCATGGAGTGGTGGTGGACTTTTTTATTTTCAGCAAAGAAAAGGGAAAGGAAGAATGGGTTAAAAAGTTTCCCCTGTTCTCTCAACTGATAAAAATAGCCCCATTTGAATATTAAAAAGTCTGTTAATATGACCATGGAAGAAAATGTAGTTTGGACCAAAGAGCTCCTCTCTGTGTGAATCATCTATTATTTTTTTCTTGCCTTTGGTATAAGGGAATTTAAACAACAAGAACAATAAAACAATGAATGGAAGGAGCTGTTGATCACTTTATGTACAAGTCTTTCAGGAATGAGAAATTCCTGGAGATGTGGGGGTGGAGTCTGGGGAGGGGAAGGACTGCAGCAGAGAAGAGATGTGATGCCATACAGTCCCCAAAGCAGCCATTTTCTCCAGGGGACTTGATTTCTGTAGTCTGGGGATAATTTGTAATCCTGGGAAATCTCCTGCACCATCATGTGGTTGGCAACCTGAAGTTCCAAATGTAGCCTGCCTGATCGCAGGTCTCAAATGTCTTAAGTGCGCAAAACTGGGAAAGTAAGGACCTCAGACTGAGGGGTCATATAATAATTATGTTTTTTAAGCAAAAAGAAGCCAGCCTATGTACTGCAGTCAGGGGAGCAAGTTCTCCTCAACCATCTTATCTTTAGAATAGGGACTACCATTTTGTCTCTACTTACCAGTTCCACGTGGTTCTTTGTTACATCGTAAGTATAAGAATATGGATACAGAAGCATCTGGGAGTAAGAGTGAATAGTCAAGTAAGCTTTGATGGTTGAGATGTTGTTACGAATGAAGTTAACCAAGGCCTTTGTCTCCTTTTCGGATTCAGGTGCACTGCCACAATAAGTATCGTCACATGGCCTTCTGGAAGCACCAACACCTACATGCCAAATAAGCAGAAACCATAAATGGTAAGAAGGAAACAAACAAGAACCATGTCAAAGCACTGGCCAAAATGACAGCAAATTTTATAATTTAAGCTTCCTAGGGAGAAAATATAACCACTTCTACTTAGAAGTAAGTCCCATGTTATTCAATGAGAATTGCTCCCAGGAAAATGTCCTTAGGACTGCAGCTCTAATTGCTTAGAATAAGGGTCAAAACACTTGCTACATAGGACTCCTATAACCAGATCTCCCAGTTGTTTTGGGCAGCAAAGCTGAATTTGATTGATGCTGTGACAGTGCGCAACAGGGGTTTAACACTCCCGCCCCCTGCTGTTTCACCACTCAAAACCATCTCCCAAATCTTCTGTGAATTGCAGTGGAAGAAAAAAGGAAGACACACCTATTAGTTCTTGCCTACAGTTATTAATAGAAACTTTAGAAGTGGTATATTTGATGAGGATAGGGTTGGCTACAAGGAGGAAACTGGATGTGTGTGGGGACCTACTAGTTCTGGTGCCCTTGGTGTCATGACATTACTTTTACCATAGAGGTTTCACTGAATGTTAGAGCTCCAGAAGTAACATTGTGATGCTGGTGGGGGTGGGTGGGATGCTGATTCGCCCCTCATATTGTTGTGGAAGTCCAGTGGGGGGGGGGGGGGTGTTGTTGGCTGCTGGAGTCCCATGAAGTAGACAAACTGGCTAAGAGGTTTAAAAGCTTTTTTAGTTGCCAGGCAAAGGAGATCACAGAAGCAAGTCTGAAAACAATCACACCCAGCTGACAGTGGGCCACACAATGATAGGCATCGGTTACATAGGATCTGAGTATGTGCAACCAGTTCCCCCCCCCCAGCTTTTCTATACCAATAAATTTCTACTGCTGTCAGCTGCACAATTCGGGGAAGAGTCTGTGTTAACTGCAACATCTTTGGTTTTCACAGTAGTTCTAGGAATAATTATTAGCTCAGACATTTGCTCACCAGCTCCCTTTAGATAAGCTGTCTTAAGCACAAATCCATACTTCTGCTTCTTGCAAAGTGAACAAAGGTTCCAAAGCGGGCAAACATGGCTCCCTTAATGCTAAGCTGAGTATTTATATTGTAATATGTCCCTGCCAGTCTACTGGAGGGGGCCTGGCCCCTCTAGATGAGGGAAACAGCATATGGGAAAAGAGTAGTTCTCTCTCTTCCAGTTAGGGTTGCAAACCTAGAGGTGGGACCTGTTCTAGAATTACAACTGATCTCCACACTACAGAGATCAGTTCCACTAGAGGAAGTGACAGCTTCAGAGAATCATATCCCTGCAGAGCTCCTACCCTGAGCTCCCTCTAAGCTGTGGAGTCTTGTGAGCAAAATTTTTTACTTTGTGAGCTACTGGCATTAAAGTTGTGAGCGAGTGATTTGGCTACTGTATAAATTAGTTTGCTCTGGAACCATCCTTCCTGAGCTAAGGCAAAAATATGTGAGCCAGAGGCTAAAAAACAGTGAGCTAGCTCACACTAACTCAGCTTAGAGGGACCATTGCTTCTACCCCACCCCAAACTCCAGCTTCCCTAGGCTCCACCCCCAAATGTCTAGGAATTTCTCAATGCAGAGTTGGTGACTCTTTTGAAACTTTAAAAAATTGTGACGTTATCACGAATCTCCTGAGAACATGCAGTTTGGGCCAGGGCTGCTGACAGGGGGGTACTGGGGGAACAAAATTCAGGGGCCCTAATTCAGCTGGAGGGCCTCTGAAGCCAGTCTCATGCTGCATCTAACTGAATGCCTTTCCAATGATTTTCCTTTTTTTTTTTTGGTAAACAAATTTTATTTTCTCAGGAATACAACATATAAAACATTTCATTCTATCAATTGTCTACCCCATTCCCAGTTCCTCCCCTCCCTCCAATGGCTTCCCACAATGCTTCCACCCCTGCTCCAAATTACTTCATATCATCAACAATATCAGTTTTTCATCATTACAATCTAAAGATAACATCGTTTGACTTAATATTGATCTAAACATATTAAGTTTTGTTTCACATCCCAGTTCTTTTCCAGATAAATTTTAAAATCATTCCATTCTCCAAAAAACTCATCGTCTTCTTTGTTATTCAGTTTTTTTGTAATCTTATCCATTTGTGCCATGAACAGAACTTTTTGTATCCATTCTTCAACCTCTGGTACCTTTTCTGTCTTCCAAAACTGAGCATAAATCATTCTCGCTGTCACTATCAGGTACCAGAGTAAAGTTTTTTTAGTCGTATTGACTTCTTCCATTTTGAGTCCCAAAAGCAGAATTTCCGGTGCTTTTTTAAAAGAACATTTCAGTATTTTTTGCATTTCATTGTGGACTTTTGTCCAAAAGTCTACAGCTTTCTCACAAGTCCACCACATATGATAAAATGAGCCCTCATGCCTCTTACATTTCCAGCATTTGTTTGACATATTTTGATTCATATTTGCAATCTTCTTAGGTGTCATGTACCACCTATACATCATCTTATAACAATTTTCTTTAACATTAGTACATGTCGAGATCTTAATAGAATTTTTCCACAAATATTCCCAGGTTTCCATAGCCACTTCCTTATTCATATTAATAGCCCATTTTAACATTTGTTCTTTAACAGTTTCATCTTCAGTATACCATTTTAACAACACCTTATACATTTTAGAAATATTTTTTCCTCCTCCACTCTCCCAAACCTTTTCAATTTCATTTTTTTCCTCTCTAAAACCATAGTTTTTTTTGTCAGATCTAAAAAGATCATAAATCTGCATATATTTCAACCACTCATATTCATATTCAATTTCATTCTGCTTTTTCATTACCCACTCTGTTCCCTCTTTTTTAATTAAATCTCTATATGGCAACCAGTCTCTACCTCGCTGTCTTGAGTAAGATATCAACACTTCTACTGGTACAATCCACAATGGTCTTAAGTCACTCTGGTACTTCTTATATCTTGTCCATACCATATACAAAGCTTTTCTCACCAAGTGAAGTTTAAAAAAACTGTCCATTTTTATCTTGTCATACCATAAATATGCATGCCAGCCAAATCTACAATCATGCCCTTCCAACCCCAACAATCTGTCATTTTCAAGCTTCACCCATTGATCCATCCATGTTAGACAAACCGCTTCATAATATAGTCTAAGATTTGGCATTTGTAGACCTCCTCTTTCTTTGGCATCACAAAGTATTTTCATTTTGATCCTTGGTTTCTTGCCTGCCCAAACAAATTTTGACAACTCTTGTTGCCACTTGGCCAACAAATCCGTTTTATGCAGAATTGGTATTGTTTGGAACAGGAACATCAAACGTGGTAGGACATTCATTTTTATAACTGATATTCTTCCCATCAGTGATAAGTTCATTTTATCCCATTTCTTAAAATCTTGAGTCAGCTTAGTCCATAATTTCTCATAATTATTCTTATATAGGTCTATATTTTTTGCCGTTAATTCAATTCCAAGGTATTTTGTTTTTTTAACTACTTCACATTGTACCAGTTCTTGTAGTTCCACTTGTTTTTGTTTGATCATGTTTTTACATATAAGTTTTGTTTTATTCTTATTTACGTAAAAGCCGGCCAATTCTCCAAACTCCTTTATTTTTTGAAAAAGCAATGTCAATTTTTCTGTTGGGTTTTCCACCATAAACATTACATCGTCTGCAAATGCTCGATATTTGTATTGGTGTCCTTTATGTGTCAAGCCCTTTATTTCTTGATCGTACTGTATTTTTTGTAAAAGTATTTCCAATACCCAGATAAATAATAACGGTGATAACGGACAACCTTGCCTTGTTCCTTTCTGTACTTTGAAGTTATCTGTCAGTTCTTTATTCACATTTATTTTAGCTCTTTGTTCAGAATAGATAGCTTCAATACAATTTCTAAAATGTTGTCCCGCTTCAATCTTTTCCATCATCTGGTGCATAAAATTCCAATTAAGATTGTCAAAAGCTTTTTCTGCATCAACAAACAGAAAAGCTACTTCTTTTTCTGGGTGCTTTTCATAATATTCAATTGCGTCCATTACTATTCTTACATTGTCTCTAATCTGCCTTTTGGGTAAAAAGCCCGCTTGATCTTCAGAAATTACCGTTTGTAAATAGTTTTTCACCCTTTCTGCAATAATTTTTGCAAAGATTTTATAATCGTTGTTCAAAAGAGATATTGGCCTGTAGTTCTTTACATTTGTTGAATCTTGTCCTTCCTTTGGAATCAAAGAAATAATTGCTTCTTTCCATGAGTCCGGCACCTTTTTGTTTTCTCTTATTTCGTTGGTTAAAGCTTCCAGGACCGGGGAAATTTCTTCTTTCATCTTTTTGTAGAATTTCGCTGTAAATCCGTCCGGCCCAGGCGCCTTCCCCAACTTTGTCTCTTCTATTGCCTTCATCACTTCTTCTTTTTGAATTGGACCATTTAATAAATCTTTGTATTCCTTACTTATTTTTGGTAGTGGAATCTCCTTTAAATATGTTTTAATCTTCTCAAGATCAACTCTAGTTGTTTGGAATAGTTTAGCATAATACTTGAAGAAACATCTCTTTATTCCATTAGGATCAACGAACTCTTTTCCATCTTCTATTATTTTGGTTATCATTCTTCTCTCTCTTCTAGCCTTAAGTTGCCAAGCTAAGTATTTTCCCGGTTTGTTCGCCCCTTCAAAAGATTTCTGTTGTAACTTCTTTAAATTCCAATACATTTCCTGATTCCAAGTCTCATTCAGTTGTTCCTTCAGCAACTTTAATTCTTTAATAATTTGCTTTTTTCCAGGCTTCTTTTTTAATTCCTTTTCTTTCTGAGCAATTTTTTCTAACACTTCTGTTTGTTTTTGAAGTTTTTCCTTTTTTTGCTTCACGTTTTGCGAGATGAGAATTCCTCTCATCACCGCTTTATAAGCATCCCATACAATCTGTATCGGTGTTTCTTTATTTAAATTTTGTTGAAAGAATTGTTTCGTTTCTTCCTTTAACATCTCAATTACCGTTTTCTTATC